TTAACCTTTCAAATAATAAATTTAAAAATTTAGATTAGGTTAACTTAGATATTTTATTAAGGTTTCATATCTTAAGTTATGCGTTTTATATGTTAATCTAATTTTAATTAAAATAATATTTTTTTATTTTAATTATTATTATTACCTAATTTATTTTTAATATATTATTAAATTAATCAAAAATTAACCTACTTATTAATTTTTTTTCAAAAAAAACACAACCATCTTCACAATATTTTTTTCGGAGTTGAAAAAAATTTAATAGGACCTACCAATGTCGTTAATGTGGAGTAATTGAGAAATGAAATAATAAGTGCCTCTATCTTATATATATATATATATATATATATATATATATTATATTACTTACGCTACTCTCTTTCTCTCTCTCTCTCTCTCTCTTTCTAAAGACAAAACCGTGGATCTATCTCCTCCCTACGTTCCATTATTTTTGGTCGTTGGTGTACCTGTTGTCATTCATCTCTTCATAATTAAATCCATGCTTTTATCTTCTTCATCTTGTTGTTAGATAGATCTAATCTCTATCTATAGAAATTTGGAAAACTTTTCTCTTTCTTCCTCGGATCAGAAAGAGAAATGAGCTCTCTTCGAGCAGATCCACCGACCTCCAAAATTCACCCAGAAGCAGAAGCAACTGCTAGTTGTTTTTGTTCTTCTTCAAAAATCGACCATTTCGACCGCCTTCCGGACTCTCTTCTGTTATTAGTTTTCAACAAAATCGGCGATGTCAAAGCTCTTGGTCGCTGCTGTGTTGTTTCTCGCCGCTTCCACTCTCTCGTCCCTCAGGTCGACAACGTTGTTGTCCGTGTAGACTGTGTCATCTCCGATGACGACACCCCCTCTTCTTCCTCCTCCATCAAGTCACACTCTTCTTCTTCTTCTTCTGGCTTCTCCTCCATCTTTCGTTTAGTCTTCGGTGGCATTTCCAAACCCTTCCAAGCTCTGAGTCAGATGTTTGGACCCAAGGTCAATTCGCGAAATGGAAATGGGCCTTCCCTTTCTGTCGCCACCGATGATGATATGGAGCTGGATCAAGCTGGTGTCACCCATCATTCTCCAACTCAGGTTCTTAAGAATTTTAATGAGATTCGCTTTCTAAGAATCGAGTTACCCAGTGGGGAATTGGGAATTGATGATGGGGTTCTTTTAAAATGGAGGGCTGATTTCGGATCTACCCTTGATAATTGTGTTATTCTTGGTGCTGCTTCCGTCATTACCAATAATAAGATTTCTTCTGCTATGCAACAAGAAAATGCCGCTGCCGCCGATGATGATGATAATGGAAGCATACCGGAGTCATTTTACACCAATGGGGGATTGAAGTTGAGAGTTGTGTGGACTATTAGCTCTTTAATTGCTGCATCTGCCAGGCATTATTTGCTTCAACCAATTATTGCTGAGCATAAGACTCTCGATAGTTTGGTGTTGGCTGATGCTGATGGGCAGGGTGTGTTGTGTATGAATAGGGAGCAATTGGAAGAGTTGAGGGTCAAGCCGTTATCGGCTTCTTCTGCTTCCAAGAGGACTCTTGTGCCTGCACTTAATATGCGCCTTTGGTATGCTCCTCACTTGGAATTGCCTGATGGGGTTGTGTTGAAAGGTGCAACTTTGGTTGCTATTAGGCCCAGTGAACAGGCTGCTACTAAGAAGGATGTGTCTGATGTCTCCTGGGTCTCTACCACGTTTGAGGAGCCTTATGGTACAGCAGCTAAGATGCTGGTGAAGAGAAGGACTTACTGCTTGGAGATGAACTCATTCTGATTAGAATAATGGACCTGAGGTGAATATTTGCATCCCTGCGTACTCATTGTCACTGCTGTATTAGTTTCCGTATTTATTTTAATGCCTAGTTCCACAACTCAGATAGTTTCACTAGCATTTGCTTATTGTGGTGCAGATTAATGTTATCTTAGTTGCATACATAATTTATTAGCCATGACTATGTGCGTGCCTTCTTCTCTCATATTTGTGATGCATGCCGGTTGCCCTATTGTAGGAAAGTGGGAGATTTGTTTTTCAATGCAAGTCAGGGATCTAGACTGTCACTACTGTGACCATTAAATTAAGGTGCTGTGTTAGGATTCTCATTGCGTGTGTAGTGAAAGCTTGCTCATGATAATGCGCACACACGTCTTTACTTTTCACCAGGATGTTTTTCACTTTCCACAGCTGCTTATAAACTGATCTTGCATGTGTGTTTTGTCATTTATTATTCAGAATTTACTCTAGAAATTAGCAAAATACTTTATGACTTTTGTTCTAAACAATTTTTAATGCCCTTTCAGGGGAGGCGCAATGGTTTAAGGGAAGGGGGATGTAAATGATATTTCGAGCGAAGAATCAGAAAACAATTTTGCTTTATGCTTTGGCCATAGCCAGATGCAGTGTCTTATGGAGCTGAATCTTTCTTTGGACCACCACCAGGATCCCATCCTCCGTTGATGATGCCCTGCAGTCTTTTTAACCTTTTGTGCATGAACTGACAGCTAAAATGCATCTGCTGCTTGTTTTAATTTCAGGCATATGCTTGTAAGGTTCACACATGCAACTAGATGAATGTAGCAAGTGCTTTGAGTTTGTAGTGATTTACTTTAATTTAGAATCTATGTATGTGAATATTGTAGGTATGAATATGCTGCGTTTATGCTACACTTTTTTCATACATTAAGCAATGTGCTTTGGGTTAACCTTAAAATGTTCTCTTTTGCAGCCGAGTAAATTTTAGCGTTTATTTAGTTGTTTTGCTTGTAAATAACTTAAACTCATGGCATGCAACTGTGTAGTAATCCATGGAGCTTCTACCATTGCGAGTACTATGATAAACCTTGGATGTATTGCAAGACTTAAGTGGTGATGATTGCTAGAGAAGGGTATTGAAGTTTGGACATAGTGTGTCCTGTCGGTGTAGGCAATGATGGTGTAAAATGCTCCATTTAGCTAGCTTTGGTTGTTGTTTTTCTTTAATTTATTGTTCATTGATCGTTGCTTTTGTGAAGCTCGATCAAGCAAATTATTTGGCTTGTATGGATGCATGCCAAGTAAATGGTTGCGTTTATGTGGTTGTTTTTCTCGTAAAATGACTGGAACTTATGGCATGCACCTGTGTAGCAATCCGTGTCGCGGCTTCCATCACAAGTACTATGAAAACCTTGGATGTATTGCAAGTAATGTGATTGTCATTGTGGTAGTTTTTTTATTAAAAAAAATAGTTTTAAGAAAAATACTTTTGGTTGCAGTTTTGAAAAAAATAGTTTTAAAAAAATCTGTTTTGTTAAAACTGTTCGGATTTTTATGTACAGAATGAATGAAGAGCAGGTCTTCGGTGTAAAATGCTTCCTTTAGCTAGCTTTTGTGAAGCTTGATCGAGCAAATTATTTGGATTGTGTTGATCCATGTCGGTGCTTGCAATATTGTTATTTGAGTTCTAAACAAAGAGCGTAATGTATCTGTTGTGGGTTTTGTTCTTTTACGTACAACTAATTTTTTGTGTCTTGCAATCACATGCCTGAAATCACCTAGGTTGTCTCTAAAAGTCCTTTGGGGCTAATTCTGCCTTAATGCAGTGGGGCATCATTATTAAATGGTTAAGGTTGCTTTTGGGTCAAGGTTAAATGCCTGAGTGAGACAGTCTGTTGCCTAAAAGAGGAAGCCTTGCTTCAGCATCAGCGTAGTTTGTTTCAGCTTTCAAGGCGGCTGTCCTGTATCTCGCCATGCCTAGTCATGACTGTTATGCATGCCTAGAATCTGTTTTCCTTAGAATCATATGGAACCGAAGTTGACTTTCTAATGAAAATATGGACCTGGTAGATGAGGAATTATGTGGCTGTTTGTGGATGGATAGACGGGAAGAGTTGGGAGCAACGACCAGGAAACTTGGAGATTAAAATAAAACATGTTACGTATAGGTTATTTCGGCCTTGTTTGCTCATGATTTTCTGGCTAGTTTTCCTTGGCATGATACAAAATCCAGATCTCGTAGCAAAGTGGCTCCATAATATAGTGTTTAAACAAGCCCGACGCAATCAGAAAGTAACAATTAAGGGCTTTTCTGTTATTCCTGTGCATTTATCGATGTTGCTAAAGTGGGGGGGGGGAACTGTCTCATTTTAATCTCAATCTCTGGAAAAAAACTGTCTCATTTTAATCTCAATCTCTGGATATTTACATGAATAAATGTGTTTTTAGATAATTATCTTACTCGTTGAAAAAAATATGCACATTGTCAATCCCGATTTAAAATTTGATCCAAACCTAACTCCTAATATATACATGTAAAACATTTGTATTTTTCTAAAAATACCTTGAACTTATTTGAATTATGTTTTTATTTTTAGAATTTTAAATTGGTGGACTTGTAAACTTTGGATCTATTTTTGGCTAATTATTAGTTATTTTTAGTATTTTATAATTTTTCGTTTATTTTTCCATAGAAGCTAATTATCTTTGTTAATAATAAATTGTTTTTGTTTTTATAAATGCGCTATCTAAAGACATCTAAGTTATATAAAATATAAAAGAAAAAAATAGAAATATATTATAATATTCTCTTTAAGCATTATGAAACTAGAAAAAACTCGACCACTATTTTTTAAAAATTAAACCAAATAGTTTTAAGCTTAGGCATGCCTAGTTGATTAATTTATTTTTTTTTAATATCAAATGACATCATTCACTCTCTCTCTCTCTCTCTCTCTATATATATATATATATATATATTGTTGGATTGTTTTCTAATAGCTGAAATTAAATTTCAAGTTTGTGAACTTTAAAAACTAATTTTTAACTCGTTTTCTATTGAAAACACCTTAAAAACCCTTTATGAATATCATTAAACTCATTTTCAAACCTAAAACATCCTTAATTATTTTCAAGATGATGAACTTTCTTTCTCTGTAAACATTTTTATTGATATTTTCTTTCGTCTTTTAATATACAAGAATTGTCAAAATAAAAACAACTAAATGATAGAAAAGATGAAATTTTAGGGATTGATATAAATTTTTCCACACTAAAATCTAAATGGGGCTTTTTTTGGTTATTCATCAAATATAATACTC